AGGTGCTTAGAAAGCAGCCTGTATGCTGTTAGCTCAGGGTGCCCAAGCTCACAGGCAGCCCCCTGTGCCACTTGGTCACTGCAGCACACATACTTTGGACTGCTGCATTATTCAGCGTTGTCTGGCCCAAGCATCTCTGTGGGCTCAGCAGTAGCCTGCACATTACCTTTCACTTAATTCAGTTACTGGTAATCTGCTATGCTGTTCTATTTGATCTGAGCCTCAAAGGACAAATCACGTGTGCTGCAAATTACACAATGTCCAACTTCAAGCAGGTGCTGAGGAACAATTAGATCACTGTCTGCAGGAGCTGCCACTTAACTAAGAAAAGACAGCGCTAAGTAAGACAGACACAGAGAGAGCCCAAAGATTGCTCACACTGGTAATGAAATATTAATCAAACATCATTAGCAGTCTGCAGAGAACACAGTACATCGTGCGCTTCTGGGCGTCCTCTGCCAGCTGAGAGCACCCACAAAAGGTCCCTTACATCAGGAGCAGAAAGCAGCTCTGCAGCTTCAAGGAAAAGATCGAAATTTGGAGCTTTTTCCAGACTGAGTGATGTGGCTTCTACATCCACCCAAGTACAGCTGGTGTGTCAGCCAGGCAGCATTGTGCCCACAGAGGAGCAGAGGGCAGGGCTAATTACTGACAGTGTTTTCAGATGGATTATTTTGCACACAGCTTTTTCTGCTCAAACCTCCCTCGTTCTGCTCTCCTGTCTGCCTTTTCTATCCACAGCGCCCTAATTTTAACTCATCAGCCTGGAGAGTGAGTCAGTTCTGTTTATATGGTGTCTATTGGAGACCTGACTGGAGCAATCCCCTACACAGGATCTTCTCTCTTTATTAATTGGAAGGCACTGAGCAGGTTGCTGGAAGGTGGCTCATGATTGTAATACCACACGAAGCAGTGGGCAGAACACAATGCAATCTCGGGTGGAACAAATTTTTATCTAGGAAAATGCTAAGCTGTAAATGCCAAGTTGATCAACCCTCATACATAATTTGCTTTTAAAACTACATGGCCATCTCCTTTGGGAGAAATAAAGTCTTATTTTTGCCTTCTATGAGTCTGAAATGTCACTGAAGCCTGAACCAGGAGGCATCATAATGCTTTCAGTACAGAAATACTGTGAAAGAGTTCAAAATCTACAAATTTCCTCTTTGAACCCTCAGACCGGGACAACACACAGGGGCACAGTGTCCTGCTGAACTGTGTTCCCAGCCCCTCACACCACTAGTATCCAATGTCCCTTCAACACCAGCCCTGAGCCATGCTTTGCCCACTTTAGGGACTTCTCCCTTCCTCTGTAACCTGCACAGGGACCAACAAAACCCTGATCTTTGCCTGCATCCAGATCTCTGCTGGACTGAATAAAAGCAGGTCGATGGGCTCACCGTGCTTATGCTGACCCTCATACTCTGCTCAGGTACACCCTTTGGATGTAGGGAAGAGCAATGAGTCATTCCCAAGAACATTTTTTCTTTTCTAATTAATAGCCAGAGCCGCCCGCTGTGGCCCAGTTACTCACACAGAACTGTCTGCCCTTGGAGCTCTCACGTGCTCCCTGTGAGTCAGTGTGTTTTGCAGTGACTGAGTGCTGATAACTCTCTGTCTGAGCTGTTTGTGGAAGAACAAAGCGCTAAGGTTTATAGTAACACGTACAAAAATATGCTTTTTTTTTTTTTTTTCTCTTTGAGAACATAATTCTCCATATTGCCATTTAAGCAGTCTGCTTCCTCACTGCGTTGGCCTGCATTGCCATGAAGGCACTCTGCAGTTGGGAAGACCTGGAATACAAGGTGGAAGTTGCAGGCCATGGGTGCCACTGCCAGCTCCTCTTGTGTTCCCCAAGTGGTTCTCCTGGTGTGACATCCTGTTATTAGTGAGACCCTGGTATTTTTAAGTTCTTGACTGCCTTCCCTCCCACTTTGAGAACAACCCCAAGGGAGTGGCAGTACCACTCCAGTAGCAAAATCAATAAATCAATGGCCTTTTCAGCTATAGCATTTCTAATGAAATGTCACTGATACCGGCAGCGCCGTCTCTAGGAGTCTTAATTTTCCATCTGCAATGTGGCTATTAACAGAGGAGGAAGAGATCAGCACACGGTGACACACTTAGTTACTGCCAGAGAATCGGGAAACCTGGTTTGAGGGGAAGATGCATATCTGTTGAAAAGCAGAACGGCAATGTGCAAAATACCTGAAAGTGAAGTCAAGCGGAGCCTTTCATGTTTGAGTAAGATATGAGTGTACCCCAGGCAAGCCTGGTGCAGCCCCTGCAATGCTCTTCCACAGGAACTGTGTGAGTTTTGGTGATGTTCGGTTCAAATGGTAGGACTCTGTGTGCAGGTCTGGTGCAAAAAGAGGGCCGCTGGCACTGGTTCATCCTCAGGCTGGAGAGCAACTCACAGCATGACAGAGGTGTGCACTTAATGCTCAGCTTATGAGAAAAGGTAGCCTTCAGCTGATGGAAACCCAGTACCACTCTCAGCTCTTAAGCAAGCAAGTGATAAAGCAGTGCAGACCTCCACTGATGCTTGCCACATAAAACAAACCAAGCAATAGCTCTAAAACACATTTGTATGGAAATAAGTCATCTAGTTATTTGCTTCTGAGACACATGAATCACCTTTTTTTTTTACAACACATTGATCATCACGGTATCATCAGCAAAAAAGTACTAGAGAAGCCCATCAGAAGGACATCCCTAGAGCACTATTAGAGAACAGATTGTGCCTCGGTTAGCTGTGGAGAAATGCCCCAGTGGGTCTCCTCTCATCAGCTGTTCTCTTGGGAGGGGCTGAAGAAAGCTGTTGGTGGAACCCATCATGGTACAAAATGAGTGCGAATAGCACTGCTGCAGAGTTGCTCCAGTAATGTCCACAGTGATCCCACTGTGATGGGAAGGACATGCCATGGCAGCACTAAGGCATAAAATCACAGAATCATTAAGGCTGGAAAAGAGCACTGAGATAATCTAGTCCAACAATTGACCCATCACCGCCTTACTATGCCTAAAGTGGCTTGTATTGCCCCAAAAAGCAGACAAACGCACCAGAAGCAAACAAAGGACAGACCAGCACCTGCTGTGTTTCACACATCCCCTGGAGGGAGATGCCTTTTAGCAGAAGGCGTACCTCCAAATACTCCTGCTTCACCATGAACATGCTGTGTGCCATTTCACCCGCTCATTTTGTGCTGCTGGTCTCCAATCAATTCCCAACAATCACAAAAGCACCACAGAACCCCATCAGGAAAAGATTTAAATGAACTCTATTCTCAGTAGGTAAGTGCAGTGAAAGCAAATAATTGCCGTATCCAGGGTACAAGCGAATAAACAGCAATAACAATTAAACTTTATTTAGATTTAATTTGACATTTAGCACAGTAATAAGCACAGAAAGAAGTACCAAAATACCAAACTCATAGCATATAAAATAATCAAATATATTTCATATTTAGTGAAGTCTCTCTGCAGCACATTGGTGGGACTGCCCTGGGCAGCTCAACCATGTATGTATGTACATAGAGCTGTGTTATATAAAATACTGTATGTAGAGAAAGCACTGAAACTTACCACCAAGATAGAAAATAGCTCAAAATTCAGATATTCTGGATTTGGTAGTAATACTCGATATTGAAAATAGGTTTGAGCCCACTGCAGGAGGTTAAGCTCCAGCTGCAATGCTACCACAGGCTTGGGATGTGCCACGGGGCACAGCTAGGACTGGCCAGAGGGACAGTGCTGCAGGAGCTGCCCTCCCACTGTCACAGCACACAGCCAGTGCAGATCTGCCTGCAGTGGGCTCACCATCCCACATGAGTGGGTGCAGAACTTCACAAGGGTATTTCTGCATTTTAAAGATGCCCCTTCAGCAGATGGCTGTCGTTAATTCCCATTAGCTTTTTAAAATCTAGAAAGCTGCTTTTGCAGTAGGTCAAGCTCCTCCAAGCAGTACGCTACATTTGTTCTGGTTTCCAAGCAAGCAGCCCATGAAGTAGCAACCAACTTTGGTGCTATGGCATAGCAATGCCAAATGGAATACTTGTCCCACAGTAATTCCCACTTGCCCTGAGGGAAGTCAAGGTTAGTGTTGTAGAATCCCAGGTGATTTGTAAATAGGTATAAAACTGTGGCATTCCTGTCAGCAACACTGAAGTACAACTGGAGCCCCAAACACAAAGAAGCATTGAGCAAGGGTGCTGATGTTTTACAGGCTGAGAGAGCCAGCAGAGCTGTGGTTCATCACTGGACCTGTGAGGCACTCCATCTGCTCTCTCCATATAATCATAGAATCATTAAGGTTGGAAAGGACCACTAAGATCATCTAGTCCAACCATCAACCCATCCCCATCATGCCCACCAACCCATGCCACTCAATATGACATCTACCCTGTTCTTGAACACCTCCACAGATGGTGACAACGTGATTTTGTGCTCGTTTGTTTCTTTGGGGCACAGTGCAATGATTAATTTCCCTGCTTACTCCCACTGGGAAGGCAGCCAAAAGCCCTTTAGGGACTTTCCCAGTGGAGGGGACAGCCATGCAGCAGGTACTGGAAGATGCTCTGAGCTCATCCCATGCATGCAGGTAGCTGCAGAGCATACCCCGAGTCCTTCCAAGCAGCACTTCTGTGCTGCAACAATGCAGCACTGCAGAAGCCTTACCCAAGGGTAATTTAGTGATTGCTCCTTCTCATCAAGCCAGCAGTTGTGTTCCCAATTACACAGCAGCAATACCATGGCTAACAGGATGTACTATAATTCATAGATGGCATTAGCATTGTTACTGTACTATGAGTAACCTCTTGGTAATGACCCTTTGAATGGGACAGTATCAATTAAGCAAATATAAATGCTTAGCCTCTGGAAAAATCATTAATAAAAATTTCATTCTGATAGCCTCTAATCACTGCTAAGTACAATTACTCATATGAGGCCACTATAAAAATTATTTTTCTCATCAGAAGAAATTCTAAGGTTTTCCCAACTGTTCGTAATAAAGAGAGCACTATAGAAAAGTCCAGAAAATAAGCACACATTTGTTTCTCAAAACCCAAAGATAAACATGACAATATCTCTAAGGTACTGGCTACTGAACAGGTTTCATTTAGCTATACTCAAGCCGTAGCCTCATATAAATATTTTCAAGCAGCGCATTGCTGTTTCATTTGGAACAGCTGCAGAGAATTTCTTTGATGTTGAGCTCTCGTGTGGGGATGGCATTTCCATTTTTCTCTATGCTTCCAAAGTGCTGAAACAGGAAGGAAAATATATTTAATATAATCTGGTTTTGCATGAGAAAAAAAAAAAACTGCCTTGACTGCAGCAGCAAGAAATAATTATTCATAGCTGCAATTGCTACAGAACTGCTGGAATCCTCTCTCATTTGTATTTCAAAGGAGATGGGGAAGCAGCCCACATCATGCACCATAGCCAGCCCAGGGCACACCAGAGTAGTCACCCACAGGGTGGGCAGCACAGATTCATCTTCCTGGAGGGACAGAAAACTGAAGCCACAGCAGCTAGGGGCAAAGTGAGAAGAAGAGGCAATGCCACTACCTCCAGGCAAGGTCTCTCCTGTGTTTTGTAAAATAGCCACCTGGGTTTGTTTGCTGTGCTTTATAAATATTTTCCAGAAAAATGTTTGTTTGGGAATGCTCTCAAAGCAGCACTCAAGGAGTCCTCCTAATGACCTCAGTACATGCTCAGAGGCACTTCCTTATGCATGTTTTTGCAGACAGCCCCTTTACTGTGTAATAGTTACTGGAGTAGCAGAAGCTGGAAAATGCTGCTGGAAAACCCACGGGCTCTGGTGGAGAAGGGGAAGTGAAAAGAAAAGGCTCTGGGGAGACCTCATTCTGTCCTTGCAGTATTTGAACGGAGCTTATGAGCAGAAGGGGAACTGATGTTTTACACAGTCTGATAGTGATAGGACAAGTGGGAACGTCTTTAAACTAAAAGAAGGGAGATTCAGGTTGAATGTTAGAAAGGAGTTTTTTACTCAGAGGGCAGTGAGATGCTGGCATGGCTGCCCAGAGAGGCTGTGGGTCCCCCATCTCTGGATGTGCTCAAGGCTGGGTTGGATGGGATTCTGGGCAGCCCTGCTCCCTGCAGCAAGGACCCTTCCTCCCACAGCACAACTCCCTGGCACACTTACTTCTCTCCTGCCCCAGCACCAACACTGTCCACAAATGGGATTTCCTCCCTCTCCGTCTTGCCCAGAACAAGATGGTGCTTCTCCAGGTTTATGACACACTGCAAATAACAAACACCTTAATGCAAAAGGGAAAGCCACCACAGTTCAGTGGTCTCCAACATGGACAAAAGCCCTGCAGGAAAACCTTTACCTTCAGGGACTTCAGTGTTTGCAGGCCAAAGGAGAAGGGTTTCTCACTGTCTTCTGAAAAATAGGAACATTCATATTTATACAGTCAGAACCATCTCCTCTGCTAACTCCATCCTTCCCTGATGGCTGCCTTGCTAAGTAAGCCCCACTCTAGAAGCGGACTGAATTACTTTGAAAGGAAGCAATTCAATTCTGCTTGAACCGTGTTGTGTTCCCAAAGCTCCATGCTTTCCCTGAGGTAACCCAGCGGGGCCCATACCCAAAATGGCACTCACCCACAACGAGCACTGCGCACTCCACGCGGAGCGCTCCCACTGCCAGCACCAGGCGGTCGATGCGGCCGATCACCCTCTCGCTGCGTGGCAACGAGATCTCCTCCTCCTCACTGGGCAGTACTTCCAGGCGTTCCCTTAACCTGCATGGTGAAAACACTTCTGACATGAAACAGTCACGGGTCAGCCCCTCCGGGAAGCACCAAACTGCATTTGAAGGGTACTCAGTTGTGGAGTGGTCTCAGCTTGTTCCTATTTGCAGCCTGCTGTCAGAAGGCACTCTCAGAAGGTTTGCTGTGCTGTTCTGCCTCTCCTTACCTGAAGAATCTTTTTTCTATGTTTCTCCAAGACTTAAGAAGTGGCTGATCTAAAATTGCTTCTAATGTAGTGTTGGTGAAAGCAAGTGATGCTTCATGTTTCCTTCCATCAGCTGAGCTAACAGCACTGTCCCCATGCTTTACAGCCAGGGCAGGGTAAGTCTTATGTGCAGATAGTGCACCTGTCTCTCTGCAGTGCAACACATAGATCACATTCAGCCCAAGAAAAGAAGACAAGAGCTGTCAGGGATATCTCAAGAACAGAGATTTCTTCTTTCTACATCCCAAGAACTATGCTGACAACACTGATTATTTTAGTTCATCTTTTAAACTGATCTGGAATCTGATGGAGAACCAGTCGGAGGCAGCAATGTCTCTCTCAGATAGAGGCTGTGTTTATTACTGGCTGTTCAGAGGCGGAGAAGCCAGCACTGAGGTTGGGATCACCTGTATCATTGAGCATAGATAGCACTAGGACCAGGAGAGAGCCAAGAGAACAGTCCGGATCCCCTCCATCTCTTCACTTAAAGGCTGTCTGTAATTGCTGCCAGGAGCACATCAAGGAGTTTGGGAGCTCCTGGACCCTAAGCTGGCTTCTTCTGGCCCCAGGTGAATTGGAGTGTCTTTATGGGGGCAGTCATTTCCCTGAGCCTCTCTAAAGCGCCAGGGAAGGCACACAACCTCTGGCTTTGTTCTGTTCCCGCCATGCCCTCAGCACATCTCTTCCTGCTGTGCTCCTGGTCTGGAGTTAAGTTGGACTCACGTTTTATCACTGCTGCACGCATTGGGCTGCTTTGAAGCAAGGCGTGCTGGAGCAATGCCTGGTGTCACACAGGGCCCACTACAGCAAAGGCAGAAAAGCCCAGCATCAAAGCTCTGGTTTTAAGCTGCTTAGTTAATCTGCCTTCAGCTTCTGCCACCTCAAAATATAAACAGCAAGAGAGCAGCAGGAAGCTGGGGAAAGGCAGCAGTGTTGCAAAAATGTCGCAGGATCTGCACAAGTAACGTGGGCAGCATGCAGGCCATCACAGACCACCAGCACACAGCTGGGGCACATTGAGCAGCCCATGTGGTATCCTGCAGAGATAAGACCTCTCCACTTACACTGCTATTAATTGATAAACTGGGCCGAGTTGCTTCACAGTTTGTAGTGAATGCAGCCACATTCCAGCCACTATTGTGCAAATAAGTAATTACGGCTTTGACAGAAGAGGTGTCTTTTGCCTGTGGCTGTGCAGCAGTTCTCAGGCAGCAAGTGCAATTGCTTTTTACACAGTCATTGCAAGTTAGTGATAAAAAGCAGTGACTGCATGGGAATTAAGTGCTCAAAACTCCCCAACTGCCTGTCTCCACTCTCTGAGATCAGCAGGAGCTTTGCTGCCAACAGCTATCAGTCTGTTCCTAACATCCCTTTCCTTTCCTTTCAGCAGGGAGAAGTCTGTTCCTGGGAGCAACACCAGACACCTCAATCAGAGTGCACAGCCAAGTATCTGCTTTATAATCAGTGCTGGAGTGAGTGTGACCAGCAGCAAGGCCCTCACTTAGCAGTGCTGCAGAGTTAAGCTGGACCCCAAGAGCTTCACTGTCTTCCAAGTACACAGAAGGCCAGAGAGAACTTAGGTTCTTTCACCAGAAACACAGACACTGAAAAAATACAAGTGCATTCAGAGCTCTGAATGGTGCTTTCAGAAGCTGATCAGTTCTGTACCTTTCCATCCCAGCTCCCTGCAAGGCCATTTAAATACAACCAGGTTGTGATTTGGTGCTGCAGTAGTAGGTCCTTACCCCAGCCGGTCCAGGCAGGCTGCTGACATCAGATTGTGCTGTGAGCCAGTGTCCACCACAGCCTTCAGCTCCTTCCCAGCACACTGCAAAGAGCAAGCAGAGATGAGAGACAATGTGCAGGAGGGAAGGAAGACTGCAGAAACACCAGAGTTTCCCCACATCAACCCATCCCTTGCTTGTTCTCTCCAAGCCATGGCTCAGGACACAGTTTGCCACATGCATAAGACCCACTGGATCACCGGCATCAGCCACAGGACATGAGAGCCAGCTGTGAGGCTATCAAAACTAAAGTGGGGAGGAGGGGGAAGCGGCAGGGTGGGGAATGTTACCTGGCAGCTCACCACCAGGAGCTCCTCATCCTCGACGCTCCTGGAGCTCCCCAGTTTGGCTTGGTTCAACCTATTGCTCTGTGCTGGGGCATCACTCTTGGAAGCCCAGCTGCCTCTGCTGCCTCGCAGCTTTGATAGGTTTGTCTCCATCAGGCGTCTCTGCAGGATGTTGTGTGGTTGCTTTAAGGACACACAAAGAAAGAGCAGAGCGAAGTCAGGGGGGAGGTATGCACTGCCAACCTGCCTGCTTTCTCCTCCAGTGCCTGTGGGCCCCACTCTCATAGTAGGGCTGCCCCAAAGTCTCTTCTCACTATGACTGGGAACTTTCCAAACTTCCAGACTACGTGGATTCCTGCTGGGCTGCACCCATTTGTTTTTGTGCCAGCCCTGGCTAGTCTGGCTTTGAGTAAAGAAAACTCTTTTTTGGAGAGAAGCTCACTGCCTCTCAGTACCTCCTCTGACTGCTTTCCCAAATGCCTGTTTTATATTTAATGCTCATCATGGATGGATGCACACACACTGCTGGAGGTGAAATGACTCCACTTGATTATCTGCTCACTTCTCTGCCTGGCTGAGCTCCCCCCTTATGCTTTCTTTTCCTTGTCATTTTCATTTGTCCACGTTAGACCTTCCTACTCGTTCATTCTTGAACTTTTTTGCATTCAAATTAAATATGCCCATATTACAGACATCTGCAGATGCATCTAAACTGGCAAACCCCAAGTTCTGAAGGAATTTCAATGGGATTAGGATAATTTTGAGATCCTGGTGCTGTAGTTCCCCAAATTAGCCAGCATGAGCCCTCACGCAATGCCTCATCTGTAACATATCTCAGGCAGCATGTTAAATAACAGTGCTCACAGGAATCTAATGCAACTTGGCATCTCCTAAAATAACTGCAGGCACGCTAGTGCTTCAGATCCCACTGTTGGCATAGCACCAGTGGTCAGGCTGGACTTGAGTGATGAGAACAGGTATGCATTAAAAACATCAGTAGCTACTGGGACACATAAGCTCCTTTTCATTGTTTTTCTGCATACAGTTTGTCACTTGACACGAGATTTCTTTATCATTTCCAGCTGCAGATGCTGTGTCTGACTGGCACACTCAAAAGCGTATCTTGCATAAAAGATATATGGACAAATACCTGGATGAAGTGCCCACTGGATGGAAACCTGTCCATCACTCATTGGTCACTGCCTTGCACTCTGTCCTGGCCAGATGTATTTGGGGCTGACCGACATTTCTGCATGGCCATCACTCAGAACACTCTGGGTGTTCTTCTGACATGGCCAGCCTGACTCATGCTGCCAGAGCCCTTTGACAGAGCGTGCTGGAAAGTCACCCTGCATTCATTGCTATTCCGACTGCCATATACCCTTGACTTCAACCTACACATTTTTTACTCCAAGTTCACCTACAGGTGTACTGTTGGGCTTTCTCAAGCCTTAGATTTATGATGCCTATCTGGGATCCATCACTGTAAGGAAAACACCCAACATTCAGCAAACATGAGTTACACCACCAATTTTGTTGACGTTTTTCTTCTGAAAGCTGCAGTGCATGCTGCCTCCAAGGGAGGGCAAATATGGCTTCGTTGTGCTCCACTACATAAATAATCTCATAGAAGGGATTGAAAAGGTTCCCTGCAGCACCGTTCTGTCTTAGGCTATTAATTAGTTAGCTTTAGCTTGTGTTTCCCTCGAATCTTGCATGCAGCAAAGCGAGGGGTGTTAGTCACAGAGATGACTCAAGTGATGGATATGAACATGGTGAACAGATAATGTGCAAGGGGACGTTTGCAAATGTGCACTTTGCTGAAAACCTGCAGTCAGCCCCTTTATGGGAGGGAAGACCTCCTTAGTTACAGATGTGGAAGCCAGCAGCATGCTCCCTTAGCTCAGGTCAGCAGTGCACACAGGACCAGTGCGCCAAGTCATCCAGGTTATTGGTGCTGCCTTTCTACATGCCGCACAAAGCTCCTTAGAGCTTTATAGAATAATAAAGTGTTACATGCCACTATGCACATAGAAAAATATAGGTTGGTTCCTGTTGTCATTCAGAAAAATATAAATACAAACCAGGATTTTTTTCATAAAATAGCTCCCTTTCCATTCTTGAGACTTTGAAAACACCTACAATCCCCAGAAAAGTCAGAGTAGAAACCCAAAAGAAATGAGCGGAGACACCTGGTGTTGCTGAACATATTTACCACTGTCTGTCAAAACCATAAATAACTCAGTCCAGCTTTGTTCCTCTCTAATTTATAAACAAGTACGTCACTGCAGCTCGCAGTGTGCGTGTCTTTGGCAGCATCTCACTATTTGGGCTTTGGGACCTGGAGATGACAAGGGCTGTCACAGAAGTCTCACTCAGGTGAAGACAAAAGTCAGGCAGATGCCAGCCCCCCTTCCCCTCACCAGTCAGAGGTACACATCTGCACAGGAGGTGCATCTCTGAGGGGCCACTGCAGGCCACAGAGCCTTCGTCACCACTGCTGGCCAGTGTAAGGCTCACCCTGAAAGGAGGTGACATTAGGTCAGCGATGTCTGCATTGGACAGAGTGGGTCACTGCTGATGGCCAGGGCTCAGAGCCCTGCCTCGTACAGAAGGGAATCTGGATGCCTGGCCCTGGGGACTGGCTGCCCCTGTGCTTCTGCTTATGACAGGAGGAAACAGACAGCTTCTGCTGAGCCCCGTGGGAAAGGAGAGACCTCCTGCGTCAGAACGTGCCGCTGCCTCTTGGACAAGAAACAGGAGGGCTGTAAATCAGAAAATAATCTACACAAGTTGGAAGGGCAGAGAGGAAAAATTCAGCATGCTGTGACAAGAAAACAAATCACAAAAGATACCAGGAAAGCAACTTTCCCTTCCCCCTTTTTTCCCTGGCTCTCTTCAGCATGTCCTCTCCCCAGCCACTACCCATGCAGGGCCAGCCATCCTCAGCTCTGCATTTCCAGGCACCCATCACCAGCCCTGACTGCACGCAGCCACCCCAGAGACAGGCCTATCCATCCCCACACCTGTGAGATGCTGCCTCCTTTCTCCTGCTGAGGCTGATGGAAGACCACTTCCCAAAGCGGTGCCACAGGAAGGTGTGTTCCACTGCTTCCATCACTGCTTCCCCAGCCTCAGGGATCCCCTGTTCCTCCAGGGGTATGCTCTGCCATAGGCTGCCAGGAGATGTTCAAGAAACACGTGTGTCTCAGGGATGTGGGTTAGTGGGAACAGTGGTGTTGGGTTGGTGGTTGGACTAGAAGATTTTAGTAGTCTTGTCCAGCCATAATGGTTCTGTGACATCTCCTGTAACAGCCATTGGCAGCTGTGCTCGCTGCCAACCTGGCAACGTACAGTGCTGGCAGCATTGCTTTGCTGTGACCCATGGCAGTAATCTGAAGCTCATGGCACCAGCACAACCTCATGTCTTCTCTGGTGCTGCAAATAGGCCAAGCATGTGCTGATGCTGTCACTTTGCAGATTCCTCATCTGTGGCATGGAACTTAAGACAGTGGCTAGGGCAATCCGCTGTCCCCTGCTGTGGCCATGAGACAAGGTGGCTTGGCAGTGAAGTGACCCATGTCAGCTCAGCTCTCATCCCATCCTGGATGGAGATAGCACAGCCAGAGGAGCCGGGGACAGGCCATGTGCCTCCACTATGCTGTACTCCCTCCAAGGACATGGAGGGGATCAGGAGCCACACACCTCCCTGGGGCCACTTAAGAGCACTTCTCTCAGCCCCATATCTGACATGACCAATGGTGCCTCTCTGCACTGAAAACAAAGCCATGACACTGGGGGGACCCTGGCAGCCACAGCAAGGAGCTTGGTGTTGACTGCAGAGCTGTGGCCAAGTCTGGCCCTGGGGACAGTGGGGACAATGACCTCATGTCGTAGCACCCCTGCCTCCTGCTACCTGTTGTGAAACGCTTGGGTTTCAGCCCCACACGAGCTGTGACAGGCTGTTCAGACTCTGCAGATAACAGCAATAACCACGCTATCATGCTCTGAAAGTCATTGCGTAGCTCCCCGACAGATAACTGCAGCTCTATGTGACTTGGCATAGCTCCTTTCAAGCCCTCCTCCAGCCAGAAGCTATGTCTCCCTGCAACTGCAGAGCATTTGGGATGGCAAAAATCACTTCCAGGCAGCAATGCAGAGAACAGCACGCTCATGGAGCTCAACTCATCCAGAGCTGAGACTGAGCCAGCTGAGCAGAAAGGCTGTGATGGAACAATATCAATCCACTCAAAGTAAAGATACACCTTTTTCAATGAATATATATCTACTACAGAAATATAACATATAAATATCTATATAGTTTCTTGCAGGGAGCAAGAATTTTGCAAGAATTAGGGCAAACATTTAAAGAAGCAGAGGAGATTTCTGCAGTAGGATGTTATTTTGTAGACTTTGCTTCTTACATCAGAACTTTTGCTGTTACATTTTAGTACAATTCCCATGAAGAAAAGCTCCAACATTTGTGCACATCAGTATTCAAAGGATCTCTGCAGCCCCTGGACGTGAAGGAGGATGTGGTATATCAGCTGCAGGATCACAGGGATCATGACATATGTATATATTTAAAACCTAGAACTGAGTTTCCTCATAAAAATCAGCAGATGTGCATCAGCTGCCGTCAAAGTGCAGCCTGACAGTTTTATATCCATAAGTACTGCTGCACCTCTCGGAGCCTTTTATGATCATGCTGCACATACATCTGCACCGCAGAGCAATAAATGTATATGTATGGTATGAAGCCATTTTGATTTACTCTGCTTCTGAGGGGATTTTTGTAAGGAAAGCAGCATCCCATTTTCCGACATTTGTGTAAATGCCAAAAATTAAACAGCTCTCAGCTCCCAGCTCCCAGCACAGATATCTGAAAGCACTACTGGCGAACAGCAGCCCCTGGCGATACCCATCATCGCATTCCCACTCCCTCTCCTTCACATACATTCCTATACCGATTTCCCCAGGCTATCAGCTCATCCTGTTAACAGTAAAACAGCATGAAAAAAAAGCCTTCCCCCTGCCCTAAAACTTTCTCAGTGCCCTCATTTGCTCTGGGGAAACGTGGTAAACCTTACAGTGTCCTTGGAAGTCCCCAGTTTCTTCAGTCCATCCAGGGGAAGGAGGTCTGCAGAGTCCTTGTGAATGAACTGCACTGCCTGCTTCATCCTCCTCTGCTGGCGCAGCGAGGCGGCCTCCCGGATCTCTACTTCTTTCCTCGTCGGCTCCGTCAGAACGCCTGAATAGAACATCTTGCTGCTTTTGTGCAGCTCCCACAGAGTCGGAGCGAGAGGCGATGCGCTGCCTGCGCTTTATAGCCCAAGCGCCGTGACGTGGGGAGCCCAGCAGGTACTCCGGCCCCGCCGAGGAGGGCTGGGGCTCAGCGCTATGCGTTGCACACGCAGCACGGGCAGCTCATGCTCGGGGAATAACGAGTGCCGTTCCTCCCCGCCTGACTGCAGGATGAGCCGCAGGCAGTGCTCCCAGCACCGCTCCGGGCTCCTGATGGAAGCCCCACCGCTGGGCCAGCAAAAGGTGACAGCGGCTGCATCGGAGCTCAGCCGCTTTTCACAGCACCTCCGCGAGGTGGGGAGAGAGCAGATGAGAGCGCAGGATGCAATCAAATACAGACGGACTGTTTCGCAGGCTCACGCAGGAGCTGACATGAGCACCCACTGAACAATGTGCGTGCAGGAGGACAACGAGGCCGGCAGGTTGCAGGGAGCTGTAATTTTTTCTCTTCTTATGCTGACTTGGCTCTTCAGGCAACAGGAGCACTGTTCTGCTATGGGCACGTGCATCAAGGAGTTAAACACACCTGATTTGTCACTGGGGGAGCTGCCTGACACTCCCTCACCTGATTAAATAGAGATGTATGACCATGCTGGCCCTCTTCCAAAAGCAAGGAAGTGCAGAAGAAAACAAAAGGACTTCCACTAAATCCAGGGGGTGGTTTTAATCGCAGAAGGGTTTAGGTTGGAAGAGATCTTAAAGCCAATTCAGCCCCAACCTCAGCCATGGGCAAAGTCACCACCCACCAAACCAGGCTGCCCAGAGCCCCATATAGCGTGGCCTTAAGCATCTCCAAGGATGGGACAAGAATAAATCAGATAAAGGCTCCATGTTGGAGGGGCACCCTACCTGGCTTATTAGCAAATGCCCCCAAAGCTCTGGTTTGCAGCACAAAGAGTGAAGCTGCAAAGCAGGTGGAACACAGAAAGCATCCCTCACTCTACAGCTCCAAGATTACAACCTGTGTATAAAGTTAGCAAACAAGTGTTTATATCCCACTTCACAGCTGTTCGCATGGGCTTAGAACCCAGTCACAGTTGCAGCTTCACCTGCATAAGGAAAGAAGAGCTGCTGAGTTGTTTTACACCCTTGTTTGTTCTCCTCACTCAATGAAACACAAGCAACAGGCAGGCATAGCAAGAAGTGGGTTGGCTCCCAGCCCTCTCCACTGCTTATTTATTTATTTATTTCTCATCTTTCCTTAAAAAGAAGTGATTTGTTAGTCTTTGCCATGCCCCAGAAAATTGAACAGGAAGAGGACAGAGTGGCATAATGCAACAGAAACAGAGGAAGCAGCAAGCAAGAATCCTGGAATAAGGAAAAAGACAAAACTGTAGAGGAAAGGGAGTCCCCTCCAGAGGAGGGACTGGGGCCACAGAGAGCTTAAGAAAATGAAATCAGTAATTAATGTGGAAAAATAAATGATCCCATCCATCAATGTAGGCTATATAACAGCCCACTCTAGCAGGTACATAACAGGAAACAAAGTTTTTTACAGTGAGGGTGGTGAGGCACTGGAACAGGTTCCCCGGAAAGGCATTGGATGCCCCATCCTTGGATACACTCAAGGTCAGGCTGGATGGGGTTCTGATCACCTGATCTAGTGTAGGTGTCCCTGCACATTGCAGGGGAGGTGGGCTAGATGGCCTTTGAGGGTCCCTTCCAACGATTCTGTGCTGATTTGGAGACTAAAAAATAGCTTTTTTTCTAAAGAGCTGGTTAGTCACTGGGTCTTTCCAAGCTCTCTGTGGAGCTGAAGACACCATGGAATTTTCTTTCCAGCTCTTCCCAAATAAAAAGCCATATCTCTCTCCCACAGTATCCCTCACACTGCCTTCTTCAGGAACACCCCCTGAACAGGCAGCCAGGAAACTGGAGGGAGCAGGAGATGTTTCTCCCCATCAGGTGTTGCACTCAGCTCTAGTTATGCTGTGCAATAAGTACTGCAGGACAAAAATTTCAAAAGGGCCAATTTTAAGACATAGCACTCCCCCTCCCACATATATGCTGGAGTTGAGCTGCAAATATTTATTTTGAAGTAAGCTACATGTATATTCTGAGTGCTAGCCATAACTGTATCATTCATAGTTTCCCAAATCTCAGTGGATTTCATTTCCCCCTTCCTGCCAAAGGCTGCTTGGGTGTGAAGGCTGCCTCTGCTGCCGGGGCTTTCCACACCATAAATTTTACATGCAGGTCATTAAAGATATAGGAGGGATCTTGTTAAGGTGAAAGCCATGCGAGTCATTGCACAGCACACAAACATGATTTTCTCTCTCTAACACAGAGGGACCAAGGAGCAGCAGGGTATGCAGGAATGCCACTGCTGATGAAGACTGAAGAACCACAGGCTGTTGCACTGACTTGCACCTCATCAGGCCCTGACCTGGTAGAGATTGCTATACCCTGCAAAAACCAAAGCTTCAGAGTGCACCTGCAGGAGTGACTGGGCTGAACAGCATTCTCCCTATCCACATGCTGCAGTATTCCGAGTCTGCTTTGATTGATTTCTTGAAGGAGTTTACTGTCACCCACCAAAGGGCCTATGGACTTCCCACACCAGGGGAATCACAGGATCATTAGGTTGGAAATTACCTCTAAGTCCAGCCGCCCATCTACCATCATATTCCCCATTAACCACATCCCTAAGTGCTACATTTCCATGTTGCTTGAACACCTCCAAGGACAGTGATTCCACCACCTCCCCAGGCAGCCCATTCCAGTGCCTGACCACTTTTTATGAGCAGAAATTATTCCTAATATCCAACCTGAAGCTGTGAGATAATTTCACTATCACTGGAGCTAACAACGCCTACACAGCAGAGTATCTAAGATGCTGAAAAACAGCCAATGCAACAGCAGGGACTGCACAGCATTTGTTCCAACAGAGAGGCAGCCTTGTTTTCACCCCCACATATTTTCCACGCCTGGTCAGTGATTTTCTCACCTTCTTCAGCCCAACGGACAAAGGGTTGCACAGCAGCCATTACAAAGCCGCAGTGATGCAAGCAGCCAGCAATCTTTCTGTGTTTGTTGAATACAAAGGAGTCCATTCTTGATTTAAATACTCCAATACGACAATCCATTTCTGTCCGCCAACACAGTTAAGCACCTGCTGGTGAAGCACAGTTAAGCACCATGCCTTGCTGAAGGGGGATTTCAAGCAGATGGTTCCCTGGGCAATACTCCTTCCCAGCATGGTGAAAACCCACTCCTTTGTACACAAAATATCAGTACACACAAACCCCTTGGGGTATTTGCTAAAGCAATGGCAATGAAGCGTTGCCTTTTCAGTGCTTAATGTATACATGGGAAACTTAATAGATCAGTGTTTGCTTTTAGATCTGTGGGGCTAATTAATCATAACTCAGTTGGTCAGATTTTTCCTTGAGTCAACACCTTGAACATTAGTGGAGATAGAATGAGGATACGTGACACCCAGAATGACATCTATGCCTAGCTACAGTCATGGAAGTAGTTTACTAAACTGATTCTAACTTGGCAGCAAGAAGTTTTAAATATTTACCCATAGATTACTGTAGGCATGAAACAATAGGTTGTTATTTTCTCCTCTTCCTTTCTTTCTAAACTACTGAACTATTCTCATAATTAACTGGCAACACAAGGAGGTGCCCACAATGGACCAGAAGTCCAGGAGAAAAGCTTCCCTAAGTACATCAGCTAGAAAAGGATAGTCCAACAATACCTATCTCCTCACAGCGAGCAGTACAGGTAGGCAGGACAAGGAGCAGATTACACAGCAGAAGGAATCCTAAACCCTGTCTTTGGGTGACAGGTTGAGAGTGGACACTGAAGTGCACGGCCATGGTGGAGCACAGGGTATTTGGAAGCTCCTTGCCACACGGTGGAGCTCCTAGTCCTGCAAGGACTCACACATATCTTGGACCCGCTCTCTTTCTTCTTGCTTTCTAGCTAGAGAATTTTCCTCTGCTGAAGTATAAATCTGCTGCAGAGATGTTTCTCATTCTAGATGCTTTGGAAGTCTATGATTGCCAAAGAGCAGTATTTGTGGGGAAGGGGAGTGAGCTCCTCAAGCAAGGTCTGTGAAATGTACCGCCTGGAGAACGCAGATCTCAGACATGAGGTAAAATCAAAAAATATATATCACTATTTCTTGATCAGGACTAGAACAGATCATCTCTGAAACAGTATTGCCTTCAATGGCAACACAAATTGCAGTATCTCCAGGGATAAAATGAGTTTAACAGCATCAGAATTTCCAAGTTTTTCTGCAAAAGCACCCAGAAGAGGTGCTTATTTCAATTCATGCCAGTGTAGGACTCATCAAGGAACAATATTCTTACTATATCATTAAAAAGGGAGACTGAGAGCCCCTTCTGCCTCTCCCACTTACAGGAGTACTCACAGAAGGACTTCATGAGACAAATATTTCCTCCTTCAGAGGGTAGGAAGAGAGTGGCAGAGAGACTGGGCTGTTTTGTGATGGTCCTTTGTCAAGTCTGAAATTGCTCTGATTTCCCCATGGAGCAAAAACAATAATCGATGAACTCTCAATTTCAGTGCTTTAAGTTCCAATATAAAGAAAAATTATCACCCAAAATAAAGATGTTTGGGGACTTGGGATACATTTAAAAAAAATTATTATTACTTCTACGTTTATATCCAAACATCTTTATTCTGGAGCTTTAAGACAAATCAAAACACGAGCCCAAGATGTTTTACTGTATTCATTTCAGATACAACTCTGATTTACATCAGCATCGGAGAGGAGGTCAGCACGGTGTAAGTCAAACACAGGATCTCTCACCTCTGTGGCGCTCCTATGTTTATTTTATGAAGCCACAACTCCAACACGCTCAAGCACTGTGAGCATAAGTGAGCCACCATTGTATCCCCCTCCATATGGCACATGCAAAATTGCAACAACTCGTAACTGCTAAGATTTAGTGAGACACATTACTGGATATACTCAGTGCTAATATTTGCTATCGCACAGAATTGCCAACAGTACTTCAATGTAGCTTTCCGAACACAGCGGTTGTGTTTGCCGTGTTGTGGTTTAGTTAAATATCTCCACCTTCGAGTCTAGTGAACTGAGATACTTCAGCCTGTGCTGAATCTGTATAGGAAGCCAGCTGCCCCAGGAAAGCAAAGAAGGCGAGAGTATGTACATGACTGGTACCAACAATGAGACATGGTGCTATTGATTACCTGTGCTTTGAGGTGTTCCTGCCCTACTTTGGCTGCCATTCACTGCGAGATCATCTGTCCAACTACAGATACTAATCAAGCTGAGCAGCTGAAAAAAGGGGGAAAATATTTTGCTGATTGTACACACAATTGTGCATTTCCAAAGACAAATG